CTAACCAATATATAATTAAACACACACACACACACGCATATATATATATATATATATATATATAAACTAATAATATATTCCTATATGACATGCACAATTCATATACGTAATTAAATAGGTATCCTAATAAACTCTTGTACTTAAATTAACTAATACAATATGTATTTATATATAAGCACAAATGGACTTGAATTAAGTCCCAGACAAATTAAGTATCTAGAATAAATCTGTACTGAAATTCATTTGATATGAAGGCACTCAGGCATACAACAAATGGAGCCCTTTTTTAAGCGTTTTTCTTGAGGGATAAGGGCTGAATTGGCCGGAAGTAGAGGCCGCACGTCATGCGTTTCTTTATATAACAAAAAGGATATTCTAATAATTGAGATTTGCATAAATGGTGGCCAATATATTTTCTTCTTTATTTCTGTTTATAATTTAAAAAAATACGAGATAAGGCATATGGGGTATGATTCCAAGCTTAGCTCTAAAAACCCAGATTCTCCCATGCAAAATAGGGGAAAATAAAATAATTGATCTTTTCTTCTTTTAAAAAAAATATTGCGATGATAAGGTTGACACTTTGATACACGAATGACGTCATGTTGTTAAATCATTTCAATCATATACGATTGAAGATTTGAGACAAGCAGGGCAGATTTATACGTCATGGGAAAAGCTCCTTTTTCTCTTTAGTTTTTGCATTTCATTTTTTGCAAAGTTGAGACGATAAGATCACTCTTACGTAACAAGTAACTTCCCTTTTCACCCCTTTATTTTGGCCCTAAACTCCATCTCTCTCTATCTCTACTAGGGTTAGCTAATTCCAACTACACCAGTTAAAATATCGGATTTCCAATTTAAGTCATAAGACTTAGATAGTAAATAAGAATCAAAATTTCAATCTGATCTAATTCAAAAAGATAAATCACATCTTAAACATTTCAAGTTGTTCGACCTAATTTTAAATGAAAAAATAATTAGATTTAATTAAATATATAAATATCTCAAACTTTAGTACAAGATATAAGATAGGTAAAGATCAACGAGGGTTAATGAATAATATGGTCGATATAGATATATATATGATTTTTGATAGAATAGTATAAACGCGTTAAAAGGAATACAAAGTTAAATCCATGCCTTTCTTTTGATGGAGTTATGCACAGTCCATTCGATACAAAAATAATGCTGCCAACTTTATTAAGTGAAGATATGGCAGCCACACTGTTTGTAATGCATGACATCACACAATACTAATCATTTCTCATTGCCCTTTTCTTTTTAATTCAATCATCAAAAAGGGGTCTAAATTTAATGCCACGTGTTCAACAACTAAAACTTTTGTCGGTCTCTTAATATTAAAACGAACTTTTACTAATACAGAGGGATTAGAAGACAGTATTTTCTTTTAAAAATTTAAAAGAGAATAATACGTTGAGATCGTTTGATGAGTTTATTATTAAAATAATGTGAAATTGCGTGTTGATCAATCATGATATGGACATTCATAAACGGTGCAGAGTACCGAAAACAATGTACACGTGTCCTATTTCAAGCCCATTATGTATAGACAGAATAATAAGAATCTTGGGCAACTTCAATTCTTAATGTTTGGTCTTGGAGCAAAGGCGGCAGTGAAGAGAGAGGAAAAGAGTGAACCAAATTAGTACTTTTGTTTATTCTGTTGGGTTTTTGTGATCAAAAAATTGAACTTGGGCATTTCCGCCTACGGCCACAATGAGAACTGAACCAAATGCATGAATAAACAGGTACCCCAAAGCATCTTATGTCCATAAAACAACTATGTGCATTCCTTGTTTTTGGCGGGAGAAGTTGGGCTGTGGCCATCTTTAGTGGCTCGTTTTCGGCCATTTAAGTTAAGAATTGTAGTCGGTTATCTTGTGGAAGGAGAGAGAACAGACGGATTGACAATGACCGTGACTAATCGTTGAAAGAGAGATATTTAGGGGAAGCCTGAGAGAGGGAGAAAAAATCTCCATTCATCAGTGTTGTATGATTGTTTATATATTAGCTATTAGTATTAATGTGAGACATAAGATAATGATGATTATCTGTAATTTAATAAAAAGGTAAATATAATTATGACATAATATATTTGACTTTAATAGATTTATCAAAAGTTATATCAAGAGAATATTAATTATCTGAAGGATATAAATTCTTTAAAACTTTAATAGTCGATAAACAAAAATAATAATAATAATAAAAGTATTATTTCAATAAATAAAATAAGAATAAACATGATATTTTTAATAGCGTTGCAGAAAAAAATAATAATAAAAAGGGGGAGGTTGCCCTACAAAAACAACTACAACTCTAAACTGCTTACTAACGTCAGAAGGTGTTTAAGGATAATTTATAGTATGATATTACTGATTAAACGAAATATTATTTTTTTAAAAATTTTAAGTTCGAATAATTGTATTTGAAATTGAGGTTCTAATTGCATTTCAATTATATTACATTAACACAATTATTAATATAACAAAATTTCTGATAATATAATAACGAACCCTATTTAAATTCTTACTTTCCACCGTTTAAAATCTTTCAACAGTGAGCACGAACTCCCCGAATCCAACTTGGCCGAAACTCCGATAGTAGTATTTTTTAAAAGTTGATTTTTTGTAAACTATGTTAATGGGTCATCAGTTGAGCTATTAGTTTAGAGACGATGAATATGATGATGGGTCAAGGGTTTTTAGGGGTTGACTAGTTGAGTTTCGGGTTATGTGGTGATTGTGAGAACAACAAATATATTTTTAGGGCGGATAGATATTTACGATATAAAAAAAATTAGCTGACTATATTCCTATATGTAATGGGGTAAAGGGGATATAAGGTAGTAGACTACCCCCAACGCAAGGTTGAGAGCAGCTTCCGTGAAAGACCTCCGTTATGAATTGCCCTCAGTGAGACTCAATCACACACCACAAGGTTAAAAGCCTTGCGCTCTACCAACTGAGCTAAACGAGCAATTCATAGATATTTTCGATATGATATTGATATAAAGAAAATTTCAAGATATATACTATCAATAAAATAAACAATTAATATAAAAATTCAAATTTTAAAATAAATATCTATTCACTCTAAATAACATTTGTATCCGTCAATGATAAGATGAGTGATGAAGATGATAATGGTTATTACTTTTGGTTATTTGCACGGATGAACATAAAATTTTATATTAGTGGTGAGATGAATGATGAAGATAACAATGATTATTAATTTAAAAAAAAAGGAAAAACAGATTATTAATGAAAATATTTAAAGTGTATAATTATTTGAAATTTTATATAAAACGATTGTTCTGGCCGCCCCTCGATCCGGTAATAGGTTGTGGTGGTGGTGGTGTGAGATACGTTGAAGGCGAGGGCTGTTGATAGTGATCGGCGGGGAGACTGATTGTGAAACTGTTATATTGTAAAAAAGAAAATTTTCGAACATTATGTATGGTAGATTTTCTCCCGAATCATTTTCGCTAGAGGAAGGAATCGAACAAAACGGTTGCGTATTATTTTCTTGGGTAAACTACATTCTAGGTCACTCAATTAAGCAAGTTACATATGGGTCATGATTTTTATAAAACTATAATTTAATCATCGAATAAAAAATTATTACAAATAAGTCACTATGACAATAAATATTAGGCACAATAGTTAATTGGCCTACTATAATAATAGTCCTCAAAATTTAGTTTAAAATTTATACATTCTATCAACTTAGTTTAAATTCGAAATAATTCAATAATTCTAACTATCTATGTTTAAAATTCTAACAATTTAGTACATGTTTTTCTTTCATAGTTTTTATTCTTAACCATTTATGATCATCCCTACTTGGGTATCATCGTTGAGAGTAGAATACTTCATTTTAAATAATGAGTGTTATAATCATCAGGGGCGTGGCTGAACAAGCGTATAGTGCGCGACGGCGCAGAGCCTAAAAAAATAGGACCCCGAAATAGAGTATATCTATCAGTTGTTGCCATTAAGAAGCAGAAAAATAGATATAGAGTAGTGGTTAGATCATCGAGTCTTTGACTTTGTTGATCTTAAGTTCGAATCTTGTTAACAAACAAATTTATTTTTGGAAAAAAAAAGTTCAAATTTGCACAGGAGGCCCGAAATAGAGTATATATCAGTTTTTTAAGTTAATGAAATTAGTCATTTATTATTTTAGAGAAATAAGTTCGAGATCTAAGGACCCTTTACAAAAATTTGCACAGGGCCTCCAACAACCTAGCAACGGTCCTGATAATCATCTTCCATATTTTATATATATTTTAAGATTTATATAAGTAATTAATTTTAAAAAATATTTTATTTTATTGTATATTTTATAATATGATGTGCTATATCTAAATAAAATGATAACAAACATATTACTAGAAATATAAAGTTAGAAATAATATATATATATATATATATATATATATGTTTAAGACTAATTAAAAGCATCAAGTTTGATATAATACTTGTTGATGAGGGTACCCAAGTAGGGATGATGATAAACGATGAAGAGCAAGTAATTTGGGAGAAGAATAAAGATTGGATTGATATAATTTTTAAATATGAAATGTTAAATTTATTAAATCAAGATAAATTGATATAAAATATTAAAATTATTATTATATCAGATCATTTAATTATTTTATTCAATTTTAACTTCTTAATGATATGTTTATAATATTATTTTAATTGAATAATTAAACTGTAACTTTTAGAAGAAAAAAATATGACCTGATTATAACTTGACTAATAATTGAGTAACCTAAATGTGTTTTACCCTTATATTTTAAAGACAGCGACTTTTGTTCCGCTTGATCAACGAAACCGCAACCAAGACGGCGTCGTTTGGTGGAGCGGTTGGGGGAACTTTTGGGCTATCAGTTCGGTTAGACTTGGTTGTCCTCTCCAGGTAACCAAACTCACAGTTTCTAAAACAAAATATATATATATATATATATAACAGAAAAATAAAGGAAAAGACAAAATCAACTTGAAGAAATCATCTACTACAATTAATTCAGGTTTGAATTTTGATCCTTTTATTTCTTCGTCTAATTTTATTCATGATTTTAGTTGAATTTTCACTTTGGTTTTAATTGTTGAAAATTAGGCGGCGGGATGTTACGGGGTTTGATTTGATTTGATGAATTGAGAGGGCGGTCACCGGTTAGTCGATTGGTGGGAAAATTGTAACGCGTGGAAGCAGGTGGTTGGTAGGTAGGCGGCGACCGCGGAGGAGGAGGAGGAGGTGGAGGTGAAGTGAACGAAGATGCCGGAGGAGGATTTGGTGGATGTAAAATTCAGGCTTTATGACGGGTCTGATATCGGGCCGTTTCGGTACTCCGCCACATCCACAGTGGATATGCTTAAGCAAAGAATTGTCTCTGATTGGCCCAAAGGTTTATCATCAGCAATTCATCTTGTTTAATTTCTTTTCTAATTGCTTATCAAGTTTTTGCTGTTGTTTTTTTGTTTAGTAATTGAAATTTACATTTGTTGTAGATTTCTGGTCGAATTTCTGTTTAATTTAGAAGAAAAAAAATTGCTAGATAGTATATACTAATATTGCAGAGGTGATCCGGTTTGAAATTTACACTGTATTATTGTAAAAACAAATGAAAAGAGCTGTAGGGTTAACCATAGAATGCATTACAAAGGGAGTATTTATAGGACAAGGTGGTAGTAGAATTTTATGGTAGATAATTTTAGTAGCTTGGGTTTTGATCCTTTTGCTGCAAAGTGGTGCCTTTTGCTTTGTAAAATAGCTACAAACTATGTTACCTGGACTTATTTTCACTAAAGTATTGTGTCCGACATAGTTGGATCTAGGTATACGAATATGATCCTTCGAGTGTATGAAATAAAGATTTTAAAAACTGAGCATACTCATGTCAACTCTCACCATTGAGTTTAGATAACATAGGCTACCAATGACCTAAGAAATGATGGAGATCCTGTTATATATATATTGTACCTGCTTTGATGATGCATTTATTGCATGTGATCAATGTGTAGATGATTAATAAGAATTGCAAAAGTCATTATGACTGTATATTAAGAAAGAAGGCCAAACTTGGCTGTACTGTGAATACGTGTTATTATTATCCTGAACTGTTGGATTATTATTGGAATATTCCATGGATGCTATTGACTGTTGTTTTTCTTTAAGTAAATGGATTGCGAAAGGAATGGTTCATTGTCTTGTGGCCTACATCTATCAACAATCTTCAGTTTTTTTTCAAAAGACCCAGAAGAAACTAGAAAGCATAATGGCTGATAAGTTTGAAGAACTTTGTTTTAAATTTTTCCGAAATGCTGTCTGTTCTTAGGTAAGACAGTTATTCCAAAGGCAGTGAATGAAGTCAAACTGATAAGCTCTGGTAAAATTTTGGAGAACGACAAGACTGTTGGTCAATGTAAAGTACCCTTTGCCGATGCTACAGGCGGGGTTATCATAATGCATGTTGTAGTTCAGCCATCGCTTGCAAAAACTAAAACAGGTATTCTTGTCTTTATCTTCCTGTGGAACTTCTCTCTTACAATTATAAGAATAGATTTCTTTTTGGCAATTAAGTTTAGCTTGTATTAATAGTGATACTATAAGCCAAAACTTCTAATTGGTTGACCCGTAACCAATGTTTAGATGGATAATTGATATTGTCTTTCTGATGGATTATGATACATGTAGCTACTTTGTAGGTGGAGGATTTTCTCTATTTAAAAAAATTAGTCACTTTTTACATGCATTTCGAGAAAAAAATATGTGGAAACTGAGAACTGCTGTTTTAACTTCATCATTGATGAGCATGCGGCTCGAGTTATGATGAGCCTACTGGAGGCCATCTTTTCCTTTTTCCTTCATTCTTTACTGAGATGGTACTGGCCATTTTATGCATCTTTCTTTGTTTCCTTACACATTGATAAGATCCATTGGACTCCAAAAGGTATTGGCCTCGGGATTGATTTGTATTTAAAGTCAATTACTTGTAACACAATACAATATGTTACAGCTCGTGACATTACAATGTATTACAGCATTAAGTGTAACTTTTTGTAATAACGTCGAGATGATACATCTGTGTTTTCTCAAAACTTCATGTTTCGACCTATTTATGCTCGATTTTGTGTCTCAACAGAAAAGAAGGTTGATGATTCACCCAGAAAGATTGTATGCTCCTGTTCCATTTTATAAAACCAAACATGTAGAGTTGGAACTTCGTTTGTGCTGGTAACGATGTTTAAACCGCCTTTGAGAATCCGGTGTGTTTTCGTTGCAAAGTCCATATTTTTCCAAGCTCTTAACAGAGTGCTGAAGATGTGCATTTTTCTTTACTTTCGGTTACTTTAATTCTATTTATGATTGTTTCCAAATACTTGCTTGAATCGTTTGTAAAGTTGTATAGGCTACTCCATGTAAACACAATCTGCGCACCAAATTGCAAGGAGAAATGCCTTCGTATAAATGCTTTCAGTTACTAACAGTTTGTTTAAATGCTACCTCCTACTATCTCTGTCATTTGGACTAAGCGTGTATTTTATTTGTTTTTAATATGGGTATTCTTTTTCTATGTATTCGGAAAAAGCATACTCTCCTACTTATGGCTGAATATATAGTAGGAAGAATAGTCCTTTATCGTGCAGATGATGAAAGATTTCAACTTTTCAAGCATTGAATTTGTAAAGTCCTATCATTTTCGAATAATATCAGAACAAAAATAAACAAAATTAATAAAGAAAGGACCATGAAAGAAGCTTCATCTCATATTCCAATGTCAAAAATCAAACAAGATACTTTGATGCAAAAGCATCAATCATCCTCTAAATCACATTTTCAATTTCTCGCAATAAATGTCTCAAAATATACTAAAAAGATCCTCATACTAGCAAACAATCCATATGCCACTATTTACAGAAGCACTCAAATCAAAACTCATGTTCGACCATCTTCCAATCATAGATCATTCGACTCGACTTTTCCACCGTATCTTTGACATCAAGCAACGTTCACAGACAAACATTTCACATCAAATCATTTTAATCAATCAATCAATCAAAGAACTAACCAGTAAATGAAACCAATAGGATCATGTGAATAGTTGCATGGAAACCAATTAAGAGATTGCTTTTATGGTATTATTTCAAAAAGAACCAATTAAGAACTCACTTTTATTACTAAGAACAGACCACGCTAGAGACCGCAAGAGGGTACGGGAACGTATTAGCATATTGAAACTCGACTGTCCCACCGTTGACCAAGGGCTTGCCTTCGTTGACGAGGCAGTCGTCGTACATCAGGCGCTTGAATAATTTGGGGTTGACGAGGTGAGCCGAGCTGAACCAGCCGCAGGTTAAGTGAATCCCGGAGATGTCGCAGCCAGTGGAACAGATATTGAGGATTTCAACTGTGTAGGTGGGGATGCCGCTCGGGAGTGGGGCACTGGGTCCCTGGTTTATCTCAATGTCAGCTTTGCTACACTTCTCTCCCCATATCCGGTTGGGTTCCTCCATTGCTGTACATGCAACAAGAAAATGACAAAATCCAAAAAAGGCTTACTTTTCATAGAGGTCCCACCCAAGAAAAATGGAAAAACCTCTATTTAGACCCATACTTTAAAATAAAAATCCAGATAGTGAAAGTTCAATGCTATCATCAATGAACAAAACAAAGCATCGTTAATGTGAAGACCTCACCAAAAAAAAAACCATAACCAATAAGGGAAGAGCTCTACAGACAAAATACACTTTTTAGTAGGATGAATCACAGGAATTGTAGGGAGAAAGAGAAGAAGCAAATTTCAACCCTAAAAGGCTTTCCATAAAGGAGGTAAACAATGTGCAAATTGCTTTTAAAGCTTTAGCCTTTTCATCCAAGTTTCTCCCTTTTTTTATTCAAAAAAATGAAAACTTCAAATAAAGCTTTTTTTTGGATAAATCATTCAAATAAAGCTTTGGGTTAAGGCTAAAAAACACTTTTTGTCCAAATATGCCACAAGATTACCATCCAACTTCAAATAAGATAGCCTATCATCAAAAGATGGTGCAAAGTTGTGGACTAGGCATTGAACTCTGTGGGCTAAAACTCTAAGGCCATTAGGCTTTCAATTACAAAGAAGGCTAAAGAGATGGAAAGGGTTGAATTGGATATTAATACCAACTCAAAGATAATGTCAATAGTGACTGAATCATCATCATCAATGGCAAGGCGACAGCCATTGTTAACAGTGCACGTTGGCTTCAACCACAACGAGAAAAGCAAAGAAATACAACAGACGTGCGCGCCTCTGACATTTTTGAACCGTACGCATAGGTATTTGTTACTACTAAATTTTAGCCTCATCATCCCAGAAAACAACAACAAAACCCCAGTTTTTTTGGCATTTTATGGAGAACAAAAAATTTGGGTAAATTCTAGTTTTATTTTACTTACGAAGAAGCTTGCGATGTGGGGTAAAAATGGCGGTGTTGTTCCTTTGATTGATCTTTACCCTCAATAGCTCCAAACCAAATGAGTCATTTATGATTTTACCCTGACCTGCAACAAAATCCCAGAAATAAATAGTAAAAAAATGAATGGAATCTAGTTAAAAGAACCCTTTTATACTAAAATTATAATAAAGAGAAAGAGGACAAAGGAGAAGATAGCAAGGAATTTAAAAGGAAAAAACATGGATTTTGATAAAAGGAAACAAATATATATTATATCAATGGAGCAAAATGAAAAACAGTATCTATGCATGCAAATCACCCACCTGAGAAAAGGGCGACGAGGAAAAGGAATAATACGGCGAAGGAAAACGAAGATAGTACCAAAAGGAGCCGCCGATTCATCGAGGAAGAAGGAGAAAACCTCTTAACAAATTCTCTTCTCGGGGAAAAAAAACCAAGTTCTTAAAGGTCAACCAGTGGAATGGGGGAACTCGAAACAGGTGAGTTGAGCCTCGCGAGTTGGTAAGGTAAATGCTCAAAACGCCATGAAAAGAAAAACCCAGAAGCAAAGACTTATTTTCGTTTGTTGGGTTGTTTAGAAGCCGGGAAAATCTGCATCAAGAACAACAGAAAAAATGAATATACTCACGTATATAAGTATATATAGGAATATCACATCAATCCATCAAAATCAATATATATATATATATATATATATATATATATACACACCTGTAAAACGAAAAAGGGAGGATGAAAAATCAACCGTCGGATCAGAAGTATTTTGACTAGAACCAAAACGAAAGTGTACAAAAACCGACTAGGTTTCACGAGAGGTAAAGTGTAGGCTCCAAAACAGACTAAACAGTGCCTAAACGACGGCGATTCGTACCGGTCCAACTCACTAAATAAAGAGTTTATAAACCCCTTTTCCATTTCAAAGTTCTTCACTAAAAGTAGCAGTTCTTGAGGTAAAAAGCGAAAAAAAAAAGTGTTGGCAACGAAAGGGAAAAAGAGTTTGACAAACAAACACATAAAGATAAACACAGTGGAAAATTAAATTCCAATCGCTAAAATAATGAAAGAGAGAAAAAGGGTGTTGGAATTTACTGAGCAAATGACAGAGCAAATAGTACTGTGCACAAACAATGCAACAGCTATGCAAAGGAGGATCAGTCCAGATAGAATTGATTTATTTATTTATTTCAATGAATTGTATTAATGAGTTTGTTTCCCTTTTTTTTTACTGAATATATCTACTTGCAGAGAGACAATTTGCAGGAAGAACAACGTGAAAGACAGAAATGACAAAACAATAGAATCCCAGAAAAGTCCATCGCCATTATTGAATTAAAAACCAAATGTTTACCTACATTCAACCTTTTTTTTTTCTTTTACAGTTATCAATCTAATAAAAAAACACGAGGGAAACAAGAGAGGATCTTCACCTTAGGCGAATGAGGGGTATATAGATAGGATACACGTAGCAGAGAACAATCAACACGAACACGGTTTGGGATTCATTTTAGCTCGAAAATGGAGGTAGGAGGTAGGAGGCAAAGACAAGTGTGGGTAATTTATAGCTTCAGAAAGAAAAAAACATAGTCTTGAAAGATTGAGGCGTTAATGGTGGTTGAGAAAAAATTATTTTTGTTTGCATTCATTATCGAGATTTGATCTCCAGTTTGTCAAGAGACATAAAATCGGAAATGTTTTGAAAAAGCTTTTAATTTAGTTAAATCAATAAAAATTAATTCAACATGTTAATTTAAAACTATTTTTAGTTATTAATAATGTTACATTATTATTTAAATTCGAATCTTTTAAAAAAATAATATTATCTTTTTATCAATAAGATCGCCAAATAAATTAAATACACACTCGAATTAAAGGGTTAAAAATCATATTTGATTGATAGTCATAGCGTAACTCTTGTACATATTTAATGTCTAATAACCAACCATTTATTTTATTTTTTGTTTTATAAATATTGATTAGTTGTCAATGAAATTTGTGACATTTGATTGAATTGAAAAATATTATTTTAGTCTTAATTGATATCAGGTCTTAAAATAAATCTTAGACAATTCATTTTCATCTGATAAATAAAAGGCAACTCTTTTTCATTTTCTTATAATATATAGTAATTAATTGATACATATGTAATTATGTATACAAAATAATTTTTAAACATATTTTTGGTTTGTGATTGATCCTAAAATTATTCGTAATCTATTTGACTTGCTCACATTTTGACTCAAATAGAAAACAATGGGCTTTTTATTTCAACTTTGGAGATTACTGTATGGTTAAAAGAAATTGATAAATATAATTTATACCATAAATAGGAGTATATGTTCAATTATACAATAAATCTTAAAATATATATTTTTTAAAAATGCAATTATCAGATATCTGAATTTTTTTAGTATTAAAAATTTGACCTGTATTTTAATCTATAATAGTATTTTTTTTGTATTAAAAATTTAAGTATCGGGTAGTCGGATATTTGGTTAAAAAAATTGTAATTTGAGCTCGACCCGAAAATTCAAGAGAATAGTCGGTTAGGTATTCGACCTACAGATTTAGGTATTTTCATTATAAATATCTGATAATTTTTAACCATATCAAAGGTCGGCGGGTCAGTTATTTTCATTATAAATTCAATTATTTTCGTTATAGTACAACTACACAAATCAAATACAACTTGAACATTTTCAACTTAGAAGATACACAACAACAAATAACCTACAAAATATGTAAGTTGATGCCATATCAGCAATGAGTTAGTACCAAAGAGTTGATAACTCCTATGCTACATGCCCACCTATCAGTCACCTAAACGACTATGATTTTATAACTGTACCATTGCGAGAGAAATCCCGAGGGTTATAAATTACCATGATTGCAGATGTCTCACACGTTCGACATGGTGGTATGTAACTCCCAGGGGAACTAAGCATCATCGTCCCCATCCCCGTCTTTATCAGCATCACCGCCTGTATCAGCATTCTCCTCGCTTTCCTCCCCTTCTTCGTCATCGTCAGACATGTTATTTATCGCTTCGGTAATAATATCCTTCACCTCAGCCTTTCTATGCATCAAATCCAGATCAAAGTGCGTAGCTGGCATAATCAAATCTTATAATTAGAGAGAGTCTAAAAGTTGAAATTGTAACTTAAATTCTTTAATAACTAAAGGGAAACATACCCAGTTGTCGAAGAATATCTGATAACGTTGCCTGCATCAGAAACAGAAGAAAAGTTTAGCATAGAATCTTGATCATCGTTTCATCTCGAAAACACAGATATTGATATTTCTTACGGTGTTGAAGTCCACTTCTTTTAGAATATCTACCACTACATCGTGAATCTCTTCCCTGCTAGGCTCTGCTTTAGGCTTCTTGTTGCTTTTTGCCTTTACCTGTAGTGCCATAAACTCAATCGATGACAATGAAATTAATAAATGCAAAAAAACACTTCAAATGTCCATGGCCTAGATGATTTTCATTTTTATAATACCGACACCATACAGAAACTCATCCAAATTTAGTAAAACCCTTGTGAATGCAAAGTCTTAGTAAACATGCACATGTTTCAACGTAATAGCTAAAGAAATCACCTTGAGCCTTGGTGGAAACCTTTGCTGGTGATTCAGTAGTTTGCTTCTTCCTGGTAACCTTGTTTTTGGTGGAAAACCCAACCTTCTGTTTTTTTGATGCAGAACCCTTTAACTTAGAGCCCGGAGTCCTAACATCACCACTAGAACCTTGTTTTGAAATTGATCCAGAAGATTTTCCGCTAGATTTTGCAGCGGTAGCCTTCTTTTCAGATGACGAAGTCTTCTTGAGTTTTGAATCTGGACGATCTGTAGCACTCTTTTTCGAAGTACTTTTATCACTTGAGTTCTTGGATTTTTCTTCTTCCTTTGATTTAGTCTCTTCATCATCACTCACTTCTTTGAGTGTAGTGTCAGCATCATCCTCATGAGAATCATTTTTACTAACAGGGGATTCAACATCTTCATCTTTTTCCTCAACTTCAGACGAACGCTTATGCTTTCCTCTACCTTGGGGTGTGCTTCGTTGCTTCTGCAGAGCAAAACCAGAACAAAATAACAAGCACTCTCAGCCACCGAAACTTCCATACAGATAAAATATCAAGCAGAGAGATAAGCAAGCATAAGGGAAAAGTCATCATTCTCAAGCAGTATAGGAGTTAGAGCACCAATCTGGATTGCCTGATATTAATTAATGACCCTTACAAGAAACATGGAAAATTGTCAATTCTAAAACTCCATCCTTATCGGCTAAAACCAATTTTGTTAATTTCATTTATAGTATTAACAAAAAAATCTGTTTGGTGATGTCACCTTTGACCAATATATTGTATAAAGATCCTATCATCCTAAATAAGAGAACTTTAACATCCAAGCATAAATCCTTTGTAGTTAATGCTAATGAACATAATAAAAATTTTAAACTCGGCACTCGAGAGGTTTGCAACAGATTCAATAAATTTAAAAATTGCACTGCAATACATCAAAAACAAGCGCTATTCTACAATCATAGATGAAGAAAGTAAACAAAAAAGTTATATATATATATATATATATCAAAATGGAACACAACCGAACAAGACAAACCTTGGCTGATGTATCTGATGCATCCCCATAAGCAATGTTCTTGCTTGGTGTAGCTTTACGCTTTTTACCCTTCTAAAACATGATGAATAAAGAATCTCATCCAATCTCAAACAGAAAGTTAATCATGCCAAATACTCCATAGCGCACAATGTACCTGTTCCTTGTCAGCAAGTAGAATGTCAGTTGTAGCATGGGGTGATTCCAGAAATTCCAACAATTTGGCAGAGAGTTCCTCCTGAAAATTGAAATCAGTTAGCCTAAATGGAGATGCACACTTACTGCATAAACATTGGTATATTTAATGTATTTATTATAGTTTCTTACTGACCTTTCGTAAAGTGGCCCTCGTGATTGGAATATTCAGCAAATCACAGAAATCAACTAATTTTTCTTTAACACATTTTTCAATTTTCTCCTTTACTTTTGCCTTTAGTTTTTCCTGCTGAAGAAAAAGAAAATAATGGTTTTAAGAAGATTCTACTTGTGAATAATTGTTATACAATAGTCGGTCAGAGGCAATCTATCATAAATTAAACATACATTACTACATGGAAGAAGACAAACACTCAGGTGGTGGACCAAAGGAAAAAATAAAAATTGAATTAAACAACTTTCATAAGATTAAAGAGGATACCTCATTCTGACCCCAAACATAGCCTGAAAATTGGCCAATGTTTCTCTTCAATCTTTGTGGCTGTAAAAGCAAAAAAAAAAAAAGTACATAAAAAAGGATCATGGAACAGCTAGATAAGATAGATCGATTACCTTTGCTTTCTTTCCAAAGAGTATCATATGAAGCAGCTGCAGATTATCATCAAATTTTCTCTTCGACAACTTGAAAGCCACTGAAACAGTTCACAATATCAGAGAAAAAATAGGCCAGACTATGCAGTAACAACAAAGTAGAATAAACATATAA